CACGGTAGAACTGTCCCTGTGGGTTTCCAGGGCTGTAATTATTTATGGGAGTAGAAAGCTTCATCTTTCTCCTGTGGAGCAGCTGATGGTTTTGAACTGCTTAGCAGTGGCCTGGGACTCTTAGCAGCCAGGCCTCTTGTGTCTAGTACGTAACTAATTCCAATCTGTTTTACTTACTGTAATACCTATCTTTGAAAATAGAGTGTTTGTTCTGATAATAAAATATCTATGCTTGTTCTACAAATCCAGAATAAGAGGATAAATGAAGCTCGTCTTATCTTCTAGTATAACTACAGAGATAACTACAAAAACCCAAAACTAAACTCACTGCTATCGAGTCAGTGCCAGCTCAGAGTGACTCTATAGGACAACATAGAACTCTCCTTGGGAGTTTCTGAGGCGGCAACTCTTTACAGGATGAGGAGGCCCTGTCTTTCTCCTGTGGAGTGGCTGGTGGTTTCAAACTGCCGGCTTTGTGCTTAGCACCCTTTCGCTTACCACTATGCCACCAGCCTAGAGATAACTGCAAGGGGGTCTTTAAAAAAATTGAGGAAAAAATGGAATTGAAAAAAAAATAGAATTTCTCCAATAATATGACCCCCTCATCTTATTAATTTTTCAGGGCATATTACTATATCTATGTATACATATAAAGTTATTTATATCCCGACATAATATGTATGTGTATATATTTAAATCTCTTCTAAATATGAAAATGGAATCTTTCAAGCATAGAAACTTTAAAACTGGGGAATAGACCATCATGACCTTTTATATATGTCTATGAATGAACGCTTCCTCACGGCTATTGCCTTTGTCCAAGGGTTCATCTGTCACCCAGTCTGTGCAACTGCATCCTAGCTTGTTTCTCCACCGTCAGTCTTCTCTGTCCTCATCTATCCTTATATTTATTTTTAGAATAATTATTCTAAAATACTAATCCTAGGCAAATGTTTGGATTGATCATCCACAATGAATAAGCAAAGCTACACATACGCCTATGGGGGACGAAGAAATAGAAAACATTCTCCAGTTAAAGTCATGATTTTTAAGATAATGATATTAGTAAAACTTTCTCTAAAGGTTGTTATATATTAAGACACTCTCCAAATCCTTGAACAATTTATCTTGAATATTTGAGGATATGCACGATGATTCTATTACAAGGGTGTTTATTGTGATTGTTATTTTTCATAAAAACTAAAAACATGGAAATAGCCTAAACGTACAGTTTAAATGTTTATGATAATATGTCAAAGGGATGGAGTGTCAAGTTGAAAACGGCATGCACACATTATTGCTTCAAGGGCTGTACTTGAAAGACGTGCATGCATACCATGCAGGGTACATATGCATGCATAGCCTATGCAGGGTCAGTCCTGCATAGGGCTGGTAGCATTAAGTGTGGATTTTCTTTTCTTTTTTTTTTTTTTCATTGTGCTTATTTTTCTATAGGAAAAGTGTGCTGTTCTTGAGTTATACTTAATAAGAGAAATAAATCTAATGAGACATAAAAAATCTAAAAAATATATTCTCATGTATCATAAGCTACAATGTTAAGTAGAGAATCCTTTTAGAACACATTTGATAGTGTCTATGCAGAACCACCATAAAAATATTATAATCCTGCCTTAGTAATTCTAGTTCTGGGATTTCGTCATAGGGGAAAATATGTAAAATAGAACAAAAATGTTTACTTATAACACTATTTATAATATGAAAAAATAAACAACTCATTTTCCTTTTTATTTTTTCTTATTCATTTTATTGGGATCTCTTACACATATTATACCATCCATAATTCAGTTAGATCAAGCATAGTTTTACAGTTGCTACCACGATCAGTTTCAAAACATTTTTTCTTCTTGAGCTCTTTGATGTCCACTTCCCTTATCCCTCCCTCCCCCAAAAGTAAACAACTTGTGTCTTTGAAGACTTTTTCAGCTTTCTCTGAATTCCAAGGCCAAGCAAAGATTCATAAGTAAATGTGACATTTCACATACAGGGAAATCATTACATGTTTTCAGAATTATCTTCTGCAGCCATTGAGAGAATACTTATGAAGACTGGAGGAACCTTTGTGGATAAAAGAAAATATAAAATTTCTTATTTTTCTAAGCAGCCAAGAGATTATTTACAGCAACAGACTCTAAAAACCTGTGGAACTAGGATTGTGAATGGTTTAAACATTTTTTATTTTAAACTTTTGATAATGTAGCTATTAAAATATAGGTATCAGAGAAACAGATGTGTCTGACATTAATATTCTCACTACACTAAGCATGAAGTTCCCTCATATCTCTGCCTCTCTTTTAGCTTTTTCCTCAGCTACTTCCACTTTATACCCTGTGATCACACTATCCCCCAAATTGACAGTTCCTTCAAAAAGCCATGCTGTTTTTATACTCTTTGTATGCCCTCCCCTGGAATTCCCCTTCATCTTCTTTGTCTCTGAACAGGTGAACACTTTTTGCCCTGAACACTGTCTTACCTTCCTCATTCTTGTAAGCGAAAGACCCTTTCGTCTTGGGTGCGCCTTGAAACTCATTCATTTATTCTTTAAACCACGGGGTGCCTAGAAACAGAGTGAAGGCATCACTTACAGCATTTTTTTAAAACTTGTGAATTAGGTGAAAATGTATAGAGCAGATCATCCTTTTAGATTCAACAATTCATACACATTCTCATTCAGCTGATTTATTGCAGACCCTCAGTGACCCAGCCATCTCTGACCCCGCTTCCTCCCCGTTTCCTGATTTTATTCCTCTTTCTGTCCTGGCTCTTTAAACTTTACCCTTGGGTAAGCGATGTTCTGTTGATCTTAACGGGGAGATTATTATAGTTCGGAGGTGAATTCATTTCCAGACCTGAAGGGAAAGACCACAGCTTATTGGCCCCGCCAGTCTTTTATTGACAGATCAACCTAGTCTCTGTTACTATGTTGGCTGCTGTTGCATATTTTTCTCCCACTCTAGCCAAGACCTTCAGATAGGACCATTTTCAGGGCAGTTGTGGTAGAAACTAGGTACTAGCTATTTTTCCTGGTCTCAAGGTTGTGGAGACTAATGTTTACATAGCCCATTTGTTTATTTGTACTAATTGTTTCTACTTGTCTTTTGAATTTGGGTAAGACACATTTTTATTCACAAGTGAAGATTCACTCAGGCTCCAATAGTCATTGTCTAAAGTTTAGTTAAATATTATATGCCTTTACTATGTCCTATCAGTAAAGGAATCAAGATAAGTATTTCCTATTGCCAAGAAATTTCTATATAGATAGACTACCTCATTAAAACAAAAAACAAACTCACTGCCATTGAGTCAATTTTAACTCATTGTGACACTATACAACTACACTTGTGGGTTTCCAAGACTAAATCTTTACTTTTCCTGTGGAGCAACTGGTGGTTTCAAACTGCTGACCTTGTGGTTTAACAGCCCTTTGCAACCCACTGTGCCAATAGGGCTGCTTAATTAGCATGTTTGTTGTTAGGTGCTGTTGAATCAGTTCCGATTTATAGTGACCCTATCTATGTACAGCACAATGAAATTCCTCCTGGTCCCGGGCGTCCTCACAACTGTTCTCATGTTTAGGCCCACTGTTTGTTGCAGCTACTGTGTTGATCCAGATCCATCTTGTTGAGGGCCTACCTCTTTGTCACTGCCTCGCTACTTTACCAAGCATTAGGTAGAGTCAAGATAACCCCAGGTATTGGGAAAACTGCCTTCTCCTGATTTTTATCTAGTCCCCTTTATTTTCCCTACTCTTTGATCATTGATGTGTTATTCTACTTTGTGTGTTAGTTGCCACAGCCTAAATGCATGTACACAGACCAAAAAAAAAAAAAAGCAACCACTATAACTCATCAAAGAAGACTCTTTAAAATTATGTTAGGAAAATTACTATTATATATCTTTTGATTCTGAAACCAGGGAGAAATAGCTACCAATAACATAACATGCATATGTTTGAACAGCAAGCAGTATTCTTGGCTCTTGTATTTGTTGTAATTGCTAAGTTTCTAGGTATTTTTTTAGAACTATATTAAAGGGGATTTAGGAAACTATTTATGCCTTTGGCATGTTTTCCTCACCCCTCCTACCAACCATTTTCCTTGACTGCTGACTAAGGGTGTCTAATAACTCTAGGAAAGTGGCGGCTATATCCCATGGTAGAAATGAAATATACAAAAGAGGCTGTGTTAGTCTGGGTACTTTAGAGAAACAAATCCACAGAAACTCATGTATAAGAGAGACTTTTATATAAAGGTTAAGTGCATATCAAGAAAACATCCCATCCCAGTGCTGCCCAAGCCCACAAGTCCAACATTAGCCCATATGTCTGACACAATCCACAAAATCCTCCTCCATCTCACAAAACACACGCAATGATGCCGACTGCAGGAGGAAAGCTGTGTCAGTGAATATGTCAACATCTCAGCCCTGGCAGGGTCTCCACACGGCTGCTCCAGCACCCAGGGCTGCATCATGATAGGTCCATGCGGCTTCTCCTCAGGGATGTCTTATAGGAAGTGAGCCTTGCCAACCGAAGCAGGGAACTGGCTAAGGCAGCTGCCCCCTGGTCCGGCCATCACAAATAAAAGACCTGAGAACTAGAAAGGCAAGGCTCACCGAGCCATTTATCCCTCCGCCCTTCAATTAACCCGTGTTTATCGGCCAGGTTGACACAATAAACTAACTACCTCAGAGGCCTTTGTAAAGTTGAACTAGTGAAACCAGAAAAAAAAAAAACAGGGAAGACTTCTCAAGGAAGATGCTGTGAGAGGAAAGGTCAGAAGTCACATCAGCAAAACCAAAAATGTTCCCTCCAAGTTACATGGAATTATTCTGATGTGGTTATCAGGAAATAATGGACGTGGATACCTTCTACTAGTCATGATCAGTTACCTCTTTGGATGAAGCTATGTAATTATGGCAGCTTTGAATAGCTCCGTTTTTATGTAATGCCTTGCCATTTTCTCCTCCTGAAATCCTACTAGGTGTATGTGGTTGCTATGAATATTAAAAAGGAAGCTGAGTCAAAACCAAAAAAAGCTGCTAAAAATACTGATGAGGATGAGGATGACTATGGTACCATTGATGAACTGCCACCAGATAGTTTAATAACACTTGTACAACCTGAGCTGCCAACCCTCAGCCGCCTGTGGTTGGCAGCATTAAAAGATTATGCGCTTTTGACGCTACCAGCTGAATTTGCTAGTCAACTCCCCCCAGATGGTAAGTATTGCATTCAGGGCTTTGCTTTTATGGAGTTCAAAGTAGTAATTCAAGTGCACTTGGGTGAGGCTAGCAGCAAATGTACCCGCAAACGACATTTTATATTTCTATGGCCTTAACATTTTTTATTGACATTGTTTAAAAAAAGCTTGTTCTCCATTTTAAATTAGTAGATTCAAGGTACAGCATGAGATTATTTATTAACCCAAGGAAAAATGTTACACTGTTATAGGAACTAGGATAATCTATACTGCGGTTGTCATGCATAACCACAATGAATGAATTACTGTGTTGGCCGACATAGGTTATTTCTTCTCTCCCAATGAATTGTGGTTCTAAAGTGCCTTTGTAAATGTATTTTGGTATGTATTTCCTATGGGAATTGTTGTACTAACATCTTTTCCTATTTACAAGATAGATGATCAATCCAGTTTTTTTTTCAAACAAAACCCCAAACAAAAAAACCTCATTTCTCTCCCTATATAATAATACTTTTGAAAAAGGGAGTTCCCTCTTGTTACCTTTCTTCATTCACCATAACAGCACGGAGAAATGAGGTGTCAGTACTGGGTAAAGAAGTAGGGAAGAATAGCAAAAGAGGAGGAAAAGAGAAGGGAGACAGATGTCCTTGGGAATGGTAGAAAGAGAAGATGGTCGAGTCTCCAGGAGCGGCTGGCAACAGTGGAGAGCTTGTGACAGCCCCGTAGGGAAAGGTCGTGCCTACTCATGGGCACGGACAGCAGCAGCCGAGGACAGGCTGGGCCCTGAGCAGCAGTGGGGAAGAGGCAAGACTCCATCCAGTGCAGCAGTTTCAGGGACAAGGTTTGTTGTTAGCTGCTGTGCAACCAGTAGTGCCAACACATAGTGACCCTGGCACAAATTCAGAAACACGCCAGGTTTCTAGACTAGGAGACACACATGTTGTCTAGCATAATCACCCTGGAAGTAAAGAATCTCTTCGGCCACCTTGCCTTTTGTGTGTAACAGCTATTTTTAAGTGATGTTGTTCCTCAATGAACGGGCACTTGTAATAGAAACTCATGTTTTTTCATTGTGTTCCAGGAGGAGCATTTTATACTCCTGAGACTATTGACACTGCTCGACTTCACTACCGGAATTCCTGGGCTCCAATTCTCCATGCAGTGGCACTTTGGTTAAATAGCACCGGATTTACATGCTCAGAGACAACAGAAGCAGCAGCAATATCTGCTTCACAAAAACGGTCCACACCTGTCATTGTAAACCAGGCATCTGTAGCAATGCCTAGTGCAAAGTCTTTGCCAGAAATTAACAAAGACAGGATGCATCTGATTTTAGGTATATGTGTCATATTACGGCATTTTAAGAGGCATCATTTCTGAAAATTTACATGTTTCCATTTATTTTTAACCTAATTGCAAAGCTTCAACTTTTGTTGAGTTTGGATGACTCATTTGGAAACTATTCAAAATTCTATTTTAAACCATTAATAAATACTGTACTGTACATGTTTAAGTAGTCTTTTAGAAAAATAAGGGGAAAATGATGTTGAAGCAGCATGAAGTGTTTTACACTGACAAACCCATGTTTTAATCTTTTACCTTGCAGGTGTGAGTATACAGTTTCTGTGTTCCCCAAGACCCGAGGAGCCAATTGAACATGTTACAGCCTGTTTACAGGCCTTGCACACCTTATTAGACTCCCCTTATGCTCGAATCCATATTGCAGAAGACCAGGTACAATATCTTTCTATATTTTGTAATGAATTGTATATGGTTTTAATCAGATTTATTTTAAGATCGTTTTCTCACATAAAGTAACTATTATATGACATGATAAATATTCAGGATTTGGACTTTCTGTAGGAGCTGACACTGAATGTTGAATGACCAGGCGGTACTTAATTAGTGACTATATCTTCTTTGATTTGTTCATTAGCACATGTACTTTGTATTTGAAATCTTGGTATCAGGTCCTCTGATTTCTCTCCCTCCCCCCTCTACCTTCGTGACCCCTTGATAAATTATAAAGTATTACTTGTTTTCATATCTTATACCGACTGCTGTCTCCCTTCACTCATGTTTCTGTTGTTCGTCCCCTGGTGGTGGGGTGGAGATTATGCATCAAGTTTTATTTCTTAAATGAAATATTTTTGCATTGACTCAAATCCTCATCTAAAGAATCATTTATGAATTACTTTTTCTCATTTCTGTATGGAATACTTCAGGACTTTATTCACGTTACAGAACCAATTAAGCACTGAATTCGTTTTGCTTTTTAATTTCGAAATTCTTTTATTTTCATATTAGTAATCAATTCTTTGGATACCATTATGACTACATCATACCATTTTGGGGTACTCTCCATAAAACACAAAGAAACAGATAAAAAACAAAATTTCTGTCATGCATTATATTGAAATTATTTTGCATAGTGTTGACCAAAACAAAAAAATTAAAAACAAAGCAGGTGATACAATTACAATGCAAAATTCACTAACTGAGAGACTCTTACTTGTACCTTAGACTTGCAGCCTGAAGATTTGTCACTGCTTAAGTATAAATTACTGTAAGAATCATCAGAGATGTTTTCAAATAGTTAAACCTGTCAAATTTAATCTATGCATGCCAAAAACTACTATTTTTTAAATCTATTATTTTGGTTTTGACTTACTATCTCACATACTTTTTTTCTCTAAGTTAGTGATGTTGATTTTTTTAATTTAATGATGCTTTATTTATTCATGTACTGTCTTTTCCATGTACTGTATTAAAGTAAAATGTTTTTTTCTGAATTGGATTCTATTATTTTAACTTCGTAAATTGTATTTATTCACCTAACAACTTTTATTCTGAGCCTGTTCTGCATCACATTGTTCAAGGCTATAGATATCAAAGATGGCTTGAAGCTACACCAGACTAGGAAATAAATACAGTATGATAAATGCTGTGCCTGCTCTGTGTAAAGGTAGAATCGGAGTATAGAGGAGGGAGAGTAGACGGTGACGTCTCTGAAGCAGTGGTAGTGGAGCCCAAAAGGAATGGACTCTTAACAGGAAGAGCAGCAAATACAAGGAAAGGAAATAATAAGAAAACATAACACGTTTCAAAGGCAGTAGAATCGTGCGATGGCAGAGTCGTGTTGAACCTGTGGGGCTTGTTCGGAGATGAGGCTAGACAAATCATAGTGTGAGTTGTTGTGTTTTGCTCTTGTTTTCATGCCACGTCAATGTGGCATCATTGAAAATGTTTAAATAGAAGAATGGCATGATTCACTTTGTTTCAGAAAGGTCTTGTTAATAATTAACCATAGAGATTAATTATTCAGAGATGCAAAGGAAGATGGAAGGTCAGTTGTGAGGTTCCTTTCTTTTTTTCCTTTATTTTGAGGTTCCTTTTATAATTCAAGAGAAATAGCAAGTACACAAACCTAAGGAAACTGAATGAAAGAAAAAGTGGGCCAGTATTTTACCCTCGGGTGTAAATAGCATTTAAAGAGTGAGAAAAGGGAGAGGTAGGACTAGCAGCAAACGAGAACAGAGAGAGGCACTGGCAGAATTTCAAGAGACAGTCTCATTGGATGTGTTTGCTGATGGTGGGCTAATTGACTGGCTGTGGATAGTGAAAGTTTATAATGTTACTGAGGTGTTTAGGAGAGGCACTTAAAGAAATGCTAAAATCACGGTAGAAAAACTCTTGTATACTCTGTGTAGGTTGGTAATTATAAACTTAGTGGCTTTGGGCCCAAGTAGAAGAAAAGAATATAAGGGAATAAGTAAATTTGAATATAGAACTTACTGAAATATTTAAATGCAGTTGAAGCACTTTGCTTCCTGAAAGTAAGTTATGATAAAATGTGAACATTTCTCATGGTGATTAAATATAGTAATATAATATAAAATGCAATAGTTCTTGTTTGTTATGCAGTTCTGAATATTCACTTTACCTAACAATTTTTTGCAACCGTATTTTCTCAGATTTTAGGAATATAAACTTGACCTTTGAAAGTGAAATGAATTAAATGTACCTGTATTAATCTGTAGCTGATTGGCGTTGAGTTGCTGAGTGTCCTGCATCGCCTGCTGTTGACCTGGAACCCACCATGCATCCAGCTGCTGGTTACTGGAGTCGTACAACAGATAGTACGAGCAGCTCAGGATTATTTGCAAGATAAAAGAAACACGCTAAGTAAGCACTAGAAAATTACGCTAACTTGGCAGGAGCCCTTTTTAAAAATTTTTTAAAATACTAGTGCCGAGAGGATTTTCTTTTCAAATTTGAATGTAGAAGATTTGAAGTTGATACCACTAACATTGTAATGAACCAAATGAAAATGATAATAGTTGCCTATTTTTCATGATCAAGCATGCCAGTGTCATGTGGTTCAACCTAAAATGTTTGGTTTCATTTATGAAGTGCTCAGACAAGTATACATATGTCTGGTGAAAAATGAAAACTTCCCATGAACTTTTCAAAGCTCCCGTGTGTGTGTGTGTGTGTGTGTGTGTGTGTGTGTGTGTGCATGCTAGAAAAAAATTACCAATAAGTCAACACTGACTTCCAGGGACCCTATGGAACAGGATAGAGCTGTCCTGTGGGTTTCTGAGACTAATTCTACAGAACAGCTGGTGGTTTCTCTCTGAAAGTGACTGGTGGTCTCAAACCACTGATCTTGTAGTTAGCAGCCCAATGTGTACCCACTATGCCACCGGGGCTCCAAGTAAAAATGAGTTGTCCATCAGTTTTAAGGAGTAGTCAATGCACAAAATGCTCATAAGGCCGAGAATTAAACAGAAAATCATATGGCATTAGGAAGACATTTATATAGATGTTTAAGTATTTCTCACATTATGAAAAAGTCTTTAAGGTGAATTTTTATATAAGTCAGAATAATGAGATATGGTTCTTGTTTAACATCAGTCAAATGGTAAAGTGTGTACTTAGTATATTATGTACCTTTCTCTGCATTAAAAACATGAAATACTTCCAGATACACTGAAACTCTCTTTAACAACATAATATAGTAATAATAATAGTCATTTCAAAGTCGCATCTGTTTATTATTACAAATCATTGTATGTACTTGAACTTTTAAATAGGTTTGTGACTACAGGTTGTATATTTATAGTCTGGGACTGCTGTATTATATTATCTACTATTTAGTATTTCAGCAAACTTTTTTTGTTTATCCAAGATGAAGATGATACGGAAAAAGAGACCTGTCCTGTATTAGGGGAAGGAGGTGACACCGGTGGCCTTGTTCCTGGAAAATCCCTTGTCTTTGCCACTATGGAGCTGCTGATGTTTATTTTAGTGCGGCACATGCCTCACCTCAGCGCCAAGATGTCCGACTCTCCTGGTCACGCGGTCACCAGAGCGCGACTCTCAGACGAAAGTGCTCGTCTGGTGGCAGCCACCGTCACCATCCTCTCTGACCTGCCTTCCCTTTGTTCTCCTGCTGGTAAGGTATTTTCATCTCTTTTCCTGCAATAGGTGAAGATGAACTCGCCTTGGTTTTAAGCACGGCTATGGTTTCTTCTCTTCTTAAATCTCAAATGCGAAATGACACTTTGGCTTTTAAAAAAGGGTTTGTTTACCTTTACGCTCCTGCAAAGATTAAAGATGTATAACACCAAAAAACTAAGGACCTCTTTTCAGATATACGTATATCAAACAAAGTTCAGAAAGAGAGACTTTAATTTCGGGGAGATAATGACTTTTAGCCGAGAGACAAAAGGTGGCATCACTAAGCCCTTTGTTCAGACATAAGAGCTATCAGCAGATACTTAACTATTAGAAAAATATACTTTCTTTTCCTTTTT